AAAGCTGGTGGCCGCGGACGGAGAAAGGGCAGCCGCCGACAAGGAGCCGGCGCTGCCCGGGGGTCCGCCTGGGGCACTGCAGCGGACGGAGGGAGGCTGGACACAGGAACACGGTACCGCTCGAGGTGGGCCTCCTCGCTAGCCTCCGAGTCAGCGGTAGCCGAGACCAACGTGACACCGCCCGTGACGCCTCATCCGCTGGCTGAGCACCGCCATCGATAAGTTGCTTACAGATTTACTGGCAGAAGGTACAAAGAATGTTTACGGGGCCCCGCCTGGGGCGGAAACACCACTTGGTCAGGTTGACAGAGCTACCAATATAGGGATGGACCAACGTCACGTCCGCCATCAAGCCCTCGTAACGATCGCAGATCCCAGGGATGTGGATGTCGCGGGCCTTGGTTTTGTGCCCGGATGAGGATGGCGTCGAGACTGAGGATCCCCGCCGCTGTATCGAGGACGCAAGGGAGGCCGGCTTCGCTGAGCCTGGCACCCCGTATGCTGAAGAGCTACTCAAGAAGAAAAGAAGGGCATCATCGTTCTCCCCGACATGCTCATGAATGCTGGCGAGTGTCGGTTTCCTACTTTGAATGGTTGAAGAATCTCTCGCACGTTGGGTTCGGACGCATCACACGGAGATGGGAAGAGAAGGGAAAGCAAGGGTCAGCTAAGAGCAAGCAGGCAAAGGTGGTGGAGGAGGTGAAGTCATCTGAGTAAATAGGTTTATGTCGTCATCGTCTTCTCCGTGCTGCCACGGCGGCTCCTCGTCCCTCCTTGTCTCGTACGATTCGAAGAACTTTCTGCGCTTGTCGCTTCGGGGCAGACGAGGAGCAGCTGTTCTCCTCCTCCTCCTCCCCCTTGAAGCTCCTCCTACGTGTCTTGAGCACGCGGTCAAGGGCCCGACAGCCGTGGCGGTCTAACCAGTGGGCGAGGAGGAGGTTGTTGTAGCGAGGCTGCATGAAGCGACGAAGGCGGTCGGAGGAGGGGGAGGGGAAGAGTCTCTTGAAGCCTCCCGCGAGCTCGAGCTCTTCCTCCGTCTCCCTTATGATCTCCTCGTCCAGCTCCGTCAGGTCCTCCAGCGGGTTTCGCTTCCCCTTGCAGACTTCGACTTGCCGGTGCTTGTCGGTGACGGAGGCTCGCTGGAGGCGGGAGGAGAAGGCGAGGGAGGCCAAGCTCTCCTTCCGCTCCCGCAGCTCCTTGAGCTTCCGCCGGCTGTAGGTGCAGATGCCGAGCATGTTGAACATGTCCACCACCATCCCGTTCTTGATCCGCTTGTCCAGCTGCGAGTCAGCTGCGAGCGAGGGCGACGTGTTGACTTCGATGAGCCAGGGGTGCAGGGAGGCGTCGAGCATGACGTCGAAGCCGAAGAGTTCGTAGCAGTTGTTGCGGTAGGGAACGAGCTGCTGCAACTTGGAGTTGATCCTCCCCTCCACCGCCAGCAGCGTCTTGACGATCAGGTCCTCAACCTGCTCGAACACGCTCTTCGTGTCCACCCCTCGCTCCTCCAGGTGCTCCTTGAGCGCCTTGAGGCTCCACTTGAGCGGATGTTTCTCCCCGTCCTCAGCCCCCGCGCGAGGAAGGAGGCGTGAGTCTTGTTGACCGAGTAGTTGGTGAGGTGGCGGAACAGGTCTCCGCTGCTTCCCTTGACGTCCTCATCGTACGTCTCCGTGCAGAAGCGAGCGAGTCCGTCCTGGTAGAGGTAGAGGCGGAGGGGGTCAAAGGAGGTCACGAGCACGTACAGTCGCATGTCGAACTTCCTGCCGTCGATGAGCAGCGGCTTGTCGATGTACTCCTGCACCACACAAGAGCTCGAGGCCCCCAGGCTCTCCGGCTGGCTCACCAACTTGATCCCCTGCCCCCTCGCCGACGCGCGCGGCTTCACGATGTAGGTGACCCTGCTCGCCTTCTCCTTGCTGTCCGTCAGCAGCCGCTCCCTGCAAGACCCGTGAGGAGGCGACGAGACGATGACACATGCGATGCTGAGGAATCAGAAGAGGAGAAGAGAAGGAGGGAGAGGAGAGGAGAAGAGAAGGAGGGAGAGGAGAGGAGAAGAGAAGGAGGGAGAGGAGAGGGAGGGAGGGAGGGAGGGAGGGAGGAGGGAGGGAGGGAGGGAGGGAGGGAGGGAGGGAGGGAGAGCAAGGGTACCTGTCCTCAGGATGAAGGTAAGTCTTGGGCAGATAAGTGAAACTTGCTTGCCCATGCGATCTTCTGCTGCAGAGATCAGAGAAAGGAAAGAGGAGGAGCCAGGAGAGGCAAGCAGAGGAAGGAAGAGGGAAAGAAGAGGAGGTGGAGAGGAGGGAGAAACAAGGAGGATGGCGAAGAGGGAAGGAATATTACGAAAAGAGGAGGATGGAAGGAGGAGGAGGAGGAAGAGGAGGAGGAAGGGAGGAGGAAGGGAGGAGGAGGAGGGGGAGTGAAGGAACCTGAAGGCGACGATCGACTTGGCGAGCGAGTCTTTTCTGCCGAGGAAGAAGGTACCCGGGAAGTGGCAGACGCGCTGGAACATGTTCAACTTCTTGTACTCCTCTTGTTTCAGCGGCCGACCCCACCACACGTTCCATCCTCCCTTTTGCGTGCGAACTCCTCCCGCCCTCCTCCACGCGTTGCGGACGCAATTAGAGCTGGCGCCGTCGATCTTGAAGAAGAACTTGTTCTTCGGTGCTGCCTCTTCCTCCTTACGCACATCATGAATGAGGGAGAAGGGGACAAGCGCCGCGTCAACTTGTTCTCCTGCCTGCTCCAACCTCCTTGCTCTTGCCTGCCACGTTGCCTTCTCCTGCACCTCCTCGCCGACTGCCTGCCTGCTTCCTCCATCCTGGTCTTCGAAGAAATCTTCTTGACTCCTCCCATGCTCGCCATGTCTCTCTCCTCCTCGTTGTCGTCCGTGTCCATGTCTTGCTCGGGAGCTGGATCAGGGTCTGAGTCGAAACCATCATGACCCAGCGAGCTGATGGCATCCTCCTCCTCCTCCTCTTCCACCTCCTCCTCCTCCCGTATCTTGCCGCTTGCTGCTTCTTCCGCAACAATCATTCTTACTTCCATGAACCCTGGACTAGGCGCCTGGAACGCTGATCAGAGTGACAACAAGGTGGATGGGGTTGGGGGCTACAGAGCTGCTGACTTGTCTCCTCTTGTCCACTTGTCCCCTCACTCTCCCTCAGCTTCTGATGCCAGTCTTCCCTTTCTGTTCCACAGTCCCTGTTCCTAATCATCTCCTACTCCTCCTTTCCTCATTGGTGCTTCTTTTCTCTTCTCTTCCCTTCCCTTCCCTTCCCTCCCTTCCCTTCTATCTCTTCTCTTCTCTTCTCATCTCATCTCGTTTCTCTTCTCTTCCCTTCTCTTCTCGTCTCTTCTCGTCTCTTCTCAGCTCTTCTCGTCTCGTCTCATCTCTTCTCATCTCATCTCAACTCATCTCATCTCTTCTCATCTCATCTCCTCTCCTCTCCTCTCCTCTCATCTCATCTCATCTCCTCTCCTCTCCTCTCATCTCCTCATCTCATCTCATCTCATCTCGTTTCTCTTCTCTTCCCTTCTCTTCTCGTCTCTTCTCATCGCATCTCATCTCTTCTCTTCTCTTCTCTTCTCATCTCATCTCATCTCATCTCATCTCATCTTGTCGCCATACATCTCATCTCATCTCATCTCCTCTCATCTCATCTCATCGCATCTCGTCTCATCTCTTCTCATCTCATCGCATCTCGTCTCATATCATATCATCTCCTCTCATCTCATCGCATCGCATCTCATCTCATCTCATCTCTTCTCTTCTCTTCTCATCTCTTCTCATCTCTTCTCATCTCTTCTCATCTCTTCTCTTCTCATCTCATCTCCTCTCCTCTCCTCTCTTCTCATTTCATCTCCTCTCCTCTCCTCTCCTCTCATCTCATCTCATCTCTTCTCTTCTCTTCTCATCTCATCTCATCTCATCTCATCTCATCTCTTCTTTTCAGTTTCCTTTCAGTTCATCTCGCGCGCATGTGAGATCCGTTGGCATCCACCCCTACCCACCCACCTCCTATATATCCTCCCACCCTACGATTTTATTTCCTACCCTGTATTTTTACTATTTCAATGACCCCTCCACAACCACCATCATTGTACCCCTACCCACCTTATCTGAGTGGATCCTTGGTCTACCCCTACCTACATGCTGACGATGCAGAAAAGCATCGGGGGCAGGGGAAGGAAGGGAGGAGGAGAGGCGGGAAGAGACGACAAGACAGATGAAGTGCAGAGTTGACGAGAAGCAGGAGAGAGGAGGAGGAGAGGGAGGGAGGAGGAGAGGGAGACAGGAGGAGGGGAGAGGGAGAGAGGGGGAGAGGAGTCGATGAGAAGAGAGTAGCAGCAAAGCCATTAGTTTGATCCCTAGGGGGTCTGAGGGCTGCGAGCATGCGCCTGCTCTGCCTCTGCCTCTTCCTCTGTTGGTTTTGTCCCCCCCCGACCTCTCGAGCTTTGTCAGTCCGAGAGCTGCAGGATGGCATTCCCCTGGTCTCCTCCTTCAGGTCGGGGACACAGCACTTCTTCCTGATCAAGGTCAGCGACCAGCAAGGTCGCCCCTCCCCTGTCTCCAACGCTCTCGCGACGAAGAAGCTGTCGGTGCGGGTAGAGACGAAGCTGCAGGTGAGGCTTCATGCCTCCTCCCTCCTCCCTCCCTAACGGTTCTGGCAGGGCGTTGTGCTTGCTCTCTGTCACGATCAGCTTCCCTGCGGCGGCATCGAGTGCTCGTGTCCTCGCAAGCTGTTGGACGCAGGGGACAGCGAGGACAAGTTCGATACGGAAAGGAGCGTGGAGGTCAGCCCTTGCGACCTCCTCCGAGGCTCCTGGTACATCTCCGTCGAGATCCCAGCCGCAGCCGCAAGCATCGCAGGTTCCCAGGAATTCTCTGTAGTGGCGAAGCTGAGCGACGGGCTGGTGAGAGTGGGAGCGACGGTGAAGGAGAGGGTCTGCTGCATGCAGAGCAAGGTGCTGTGGGTTCAGATCTCCGAGCCCAGGAGGGGCCACGAGCTGCGCGTCAAGCTCCTCACCGACGACCGCGTGCGCACTCAGAGCCCTCTGGTGCTGAGGTGAGCTCACGCCGACGCGTGCGGGCCTGACCTCCTCCAACCTCAGCGTCAGCTACAATGGCTGCGATGGCGATGGACGCACGTTGGGAGCGAGCATGGGATCAGTGTTGACGCTTCCGCCAGACGAGGTGCACGAGGGCAGGTGAAGCAGGAGGCGAGGCGAGGCGAGGCGAGGCGAGGCGTAGAATCAGACTGATCAGAAGATGGGGGAGGACAAAACGTGAGAGCGAGAGAGTGGTTGGAGAGCGAGGGAGGAAGGAGGAGCGCGAGGAGAATGATTGAGCAGCAGGCTGTGCATCCGTGTTCGGGCCGTCAACCGCAACGGCGCTGAGTTCACTTTGTCAGTGTCGTATCGCCCCGAACTCAAGTGGACGGTGAGCTGGAGGGTGGGAGGAGCAGGTAGGAGCTGACAGCCTCAGGTCGTCGCCTTCCTCGCCTCCACGTTGGTTCTCGTCGCTGGCACCTTCGCGGTTGTGTGCTTCATCAAAGTTCGCCGTCGCTTCCACAAGTACCGCATCTTCGCCGACGAGGTGAGTCTGCGCGGGAGCTGCTGGGAGTGAAGGAGGCGCAGGTGAAGGACCGAAAGAGGAGCCTGAAGATGGCAGTGAGAGACAAGGAGAGCCCCGACGAACCTCCGGGCATGCGGTCACGACAGCGAGGAGCCTTGCTTGTTCCTCTGACCTCTTGACTGGAACAGGCGTTTCACGCTTGTCGACAGCGACAGCAGCGACTCAGGGGAGGAGGTGGAGCTAGTGAGGGGAGTGAATGCTTGAGCACGTGGATCATGTTTATTACACTGCCTATCTCGCCTGTGCCTAGTTCAAACGTGTCCCCCCGCCTTCCCTTGCTCCCCTCTCACCTGCCCTGCCTTGTCAATGGCAACGAGGATGTTGTTGAGCAAAGTTCCTGGTTTCCCTTCACAGATGATGCGAAGAGACTTGCGTTTGAACTTCTCCCAACCGATTTTACAGGTTCTCCTTCTCTTTAACTCAATGTTGTCCACTCTGCTTCTCTCCTCGACCCTCTCCTGCTCGAGGTCGTGAACGTCTTGCTCCTGCTCCTTAGGCTCATCAAGTTGCATGGGCTTCAGTGTGCAGTCAGCTTGAGACGGAGCAGCGTTCTCTGCTTCTTTCTCCCCGTCGGCGCGAGGACGCGCGGGGTCGGTGGAAGGCTCAAGGGGCTTGCCGGTTCTCGAGTCGCGTCCAAGGAAGAAGAGATCGGCCAGGTCTCCTGCCTCATCCGCTTCCGGCCCCCCTGTCGCTGCCAAGTCGAGGTTCCGCTCGGCGAGCTCAAAACCTTCAGCGCTTGCGGTAGGAGGCGACGAGGATGTAACGTCCTGCATGTGCGACATTGCGTCGCCGATAAAACAGAAGAAGAGGAGAGGGGTAGAGGTAGATGCGAAGGAGTTGAGGAGGAGGAGGAGGAGGAGGAGGAGGTGGCGGTGAGTTGTAGGGTAGAAGAACGATCAACGAAGAGGAGGAGGAGGTAAGTTGAGGAAGGAAAGTTGAGGCGATAGTCGCAGAGGGGCAAGAAGAAAGAGGAAGGAGTCAAAGCCTTGTCAGCAGTAACGTGATGTGATTGAACGAGGCGTCGTAAGGTACCATATTTACTTCATGTGTAACCAAGAAACATTGAGGTCAGGATCCTTCCACGGCCCGAGTAGGCTCTGGTAGTAAAAAGCCAGCCTTTACCACACACAAGTTACATGGCAGGTACATTGACAGCAGTCAGATCGTTCGAGATCGTCTGATTGGGCTTTAGGTCTTCTTGGTTTGACTGTCATCCGATCATCGCTGAGCCGCGAGGTCACGACGCATCAGCGTCACTGCAGTAGTAAAAGCCGTACTAGAGTCATCACGCGGCCCCGTCTGGCCTCTTCAACATCGAGCCGGATGGTGACCGGGGCCCGGGGACACTGATCCCGGCCCGGGCCGTCACTGGCACTGAGAGTGAGCTTCCGTCGGGCTGCACCGGGCCAACTAGCTACACAGGTCCGATATCACAAGGTCGTGAATCCATGGCTTCGGCCATCAGGTCGGCCACGAGCTGGGCGTCGAGGGCGACCAGCATGAGCAGGATGAGAGGTGAAGGAGGAGGGAGGGAGGGAGGGAGGGAGGGAGGGAGGGACAGAGGGAGGGAGGGCGGGAGGGAGGGAGGGAGGGAGGGAGGGAGGGGATGGAAGGGGAAGAGGAGGAAGGGCTGGACGAGTCACATCGTTAATTATTGCAATCTTTCAGTTCGTCTGTTCTGTTCTTGTCGTGACCATCCCTGGTTGTCAATGGTGTCATCCCCGACATCTTTCTTGCCTGAAGAGAGGGAATCATCTCCTCCTCTTGCTGCTTCTTCTTCTCATCCCTCCCCAGATCCTCACGTTTCTATCTGCCAATGCAGCCGCTGGTGATGCTCCTTCAACCCTTCATCCTCTCTTCCTCCCCTGTTCTGTTGCTTCCTCTTCTTCCTCTCACCTCTTGTGCACTTTCCCCTCGTCATCTTTCTCAGGTCGGCTTGCGGATGTAGCGAGAGACTGGAGTCATCTTCCTGAGGAGAAGCACGAGGAGGGGATGGAGGTGAGAGGAGACAGAAAGTTCGAGAGCTGCGACCAGTAAGGAGGAAACATCCGAGGATGAGCGAGAGGAGCGAGGAAGGAGAAGGAGAGATGAAGGATAGTCGTGAGGAGCCAAGAGCGAGTCACAGATGGAATGGAAGATCGGAAGGGTAGCGGGAAGGAGAAGGAGGGAGGAGAAGGAAAGGCTTCTATGACTTTCAAGTCATTTGGTTGCGTCAGGTTCTGCTTCAAACTCACTTGTTTGCTGGTTTCCCTCGTACCATCAACGCACTCGCGACTGTTCGACGTGTAAGATTTATCACCTTCTGCTCCTTTTTCTGCTGCTCCTTCTGCTCCTTCTACTTCTGCTTCTGCTCCTGCTCTCCTCCCCTCTCTTCTCATCGCGTGTAGATCGGCGTTCGGGAAGGAGCAGAGAATTGGAAGCAGCACACAGACTCGACCAGGTGGGGACCAGCTGCCTCCTCGAGCTGAGGCTCAGCTGGGGGTCAGGTGGCAGGAGTCAGGCGAGAAGACCTGCGAGACGATCTACGGGAGAGGATACGACAAACTGAGGCAGCAGATGAAGCAGCTTCATCCCATCCTAGATGCCATGATGGTTCCTATTCCGCCTCTTTTCTCCCTCCTTGCAGTGTTGTCCTGTCCTCTCACCGGTCTTCTTCGTCCTTCGTTCTCCTTCTCCCTCTCACCTCTTTTCTCAGCTGCTCCCTTGTTCTTCCCTCCTCCTCCCCTCACTCTGCTCAGATTGAACATGGTTACGGCGCGGTCCTTTCTCGCCCGACTCTCTCCCTCCGCCTGCGAGAACTGTTCGTGTCCCCCCCCTCGTCTCTTCCCCTCACTTGTTCCTCTCCTTCTTCAGTTGCGTCGTCGCCATCCTTGCTGGTCAGCAAGTCGCACCGCAGCTAAACAGGTGAACTACCGTGAGGAGGAGGAGAAGGAGGAGGAGAAGGAGGAGGAGGAGGAGGAGGAGGGAAGGGTGTGTGTGTGTTTGTTTGTGTTGGCGGGGGTGCGGGTGGTCTGCTTCAGCAGAGGCTGACGAGCCCAGTCACATCCGAGGAGCGCTGCGAGCAGGAGCCAGTGAGGAGGAGGTGAGGACAGTGATAGCGCAAACTCACTTGGCGTGGGGAGAAGAAGCGCAGGAGGAGGTGAGGGAGGGCGGGAGGAGACAGCTAGTGATCAGCGAGCAGGCAAACGCGACCATGTCGTCGATCGATCATGCAAGATATGGTCTGTGAGAGAAACGGGGAGGAGGAAGAGGCGAGGATGGCAAGTGTTTTATTAAAGACGCAAACCAGAGGGCAGAGAAGAATTTTGAACGAACAGCTGGAGGCTGTAGGGAAGAGAAAAATCGTATGAGGGAGCCAGCGAGATTGATGATGTCAAGCTTCGCACTCCTGCTGCTGCTGCTGCTGCTCCGACTCCTGCTGCTGCTGCTGCTGCACCGACTCCAGCTGCTGCTGCTGCTGCTGCTTCTCGACCACCCGAGGAGCCCAGCAGGAGGCTCTCGACCGAGTTGAGCTTGCTTGTGTCTCGCGGAGGAAGGGAGGGGACGCTCATCGTCCTCATCGTCCTGCTCAACGTCAGCTGGGCGGCTCCTCCTGTCCTCCCACCTGATCGACGGGAGACCCTGCGCCCTCCTGCTAGGCTCCTGCTTGGGGGGAGACGACGGGCGATCACCTCGACCTTCTCGCAGTCAGCGATCAAGGGGGAGGAAGCTAAACCCGCGGCAGGAGCGAGGAGGAGGAGTGGGGTAGAAGTAGTAGTGGCAGTAGGAGGAGGGGAGGGGGAGTAGTAGTAGCGGTATTTGTAGAAAGTAGGAGCAGGAGTAGGAGTAGAATGGGGGTGATGTTGATAATGACCATGATGAAGAGGAGGAGAAGAAGGAGGAAGGATAGGGTTCACCAGCTGCCTGCTTGCTCTTCTTCATGTTGAAAATCCTCAGCTTCTCTCCTCCTGCTCGTCGGATTCCCTTGATCCTCTTGCTCACTGCCCGGCGGTTGACGTCGAGAAACTTCTTCTTGGTCAAGAGCATGCGGGCAAAGATCTGAGAAAGTCAGAGACAGCGGAGCGGAAAAACAGAAAGACGATAGAGATTCGTCAGGGAATGGAGAGCGATCTGAAGTTGGGGCGAGGAAGAGGAGGAGGAGGAGGAGGATGTGGAGGAGGAAGATGCGGAGGAGGAAGATGCGGAGGAGGAGGAGGAGGAGGTACCTTGATCTCGTTCATCTCCTCCTCGTCCATGCCTTGTGAGATGCCTGGGAGGTTTTTGAGGTCCAGGAGAAGCGACTCGAGGTCCTCCAGTGACTGTTGGAAGTAGACGTCGATGATCCTTCCTCCTGCTCCTCGTCATCCTTCCAGCCTTCGTGCCCCCGCCCCCTCCCCCCCCGCCCCCTCCCCCCCGCCTCCTCCTCTCACCGAAGGCTCCGAACTTCTCGTGGCGGCGGAAAACCTCGAGGTTGCAGGAGGAAAAGAAGGCTGCGGGCGACGAGACTCTTGACAGTCCCACGCGAACGTCGGGGGGGAACCCCAGCAGCACGCGGTCATAGCCTGGCATCTGAGCCATGGGGGGGAGGCGCGTCCTACGAAACTCCCGCTGGTTGGCCTCCTCGTTGGAGTAGACGTGGAGGCTGAGGCGAGGAACGGGAGGAAGGTCTGTAGGAGGTGAGGGAGACAAGAGGAGGAGCAGCCAACTTCACCTGCTGTCTCTCCCATCCTCAGCTTCTCCACCCGCTGCTTGTGATCCGTTGAGTTCATCTTGTGCCCTCCCAGCGCCTGCGAGCAGTGGAAGAAGATGTTGCAAATTTCGCACCGCCACGGCGTCGAGATGTCCACTCCTCCCTCCCCCAAGGTGCACAGCAGAGGCATGAAGTCCTCCCCTCGCCCGCTGCTTCTCGTCCTCTCGCTCTCTCTGTGCAGCCTCCCTGGTGCCATGAAGTTGTCAAAGTTGACTCGCTCGCGGCCCAGCAGCTCCTCCATCGCATTCTCGGGGTCGAAGCTGAGAACATGCGCAGCTTTATCGCCTTCCAAGAAGACCTCCTGATCGTGCTTGATGCTAGCACCGTTCATGCCGTTCCTCTTCACGCTGCCTGCAAGGAAAAAATCAGAATGCTTCCTCCTCACCGCTCTCAAGCATCCTCACCCCTTTCACGTTCTAATGTCTCTGTTTCTCTAGCTCCCCCCCCTCCCCTACGCCCTGTCTTCTCCCGTCCTCTCCTCTCCTTTCCCTTCCTCTCCTCTCCTGTCCTGTCCTTTCCTCTCCTCTCCTCGCCTCTCCTTCCTCTCTCCTCCGCTTCCCTTCGCCTTGTTCCCTTGTGGCCTAATTTTGTTCCGCTTCCCCAGCCCGCACAATATTTTTAGTTAAACCTGTCAGACGTTGACTTTTTTTTTTGTTAGAACCAAAAATGGCTTAGAGAGGAAAGGAGAGAAGAAGAGAAGAAGAAACAAACAAAAGAATCACATGTGTATCATGACATGCGTATCTGACATGTGTATCTGACATGTGTATCTGATATGGATATCATGGCATGTGTATCTGATATGTGTATCATGACATGTGTATCTGATATGTGTATCTGATATGTGTATCATGACATGTGTATCATGACATGTGTATCATGACATGTGTATCAGACATGTGTATCTGACATGTGTATCTGATATGTGTATCATGACATGTGTATCTGATATGTGTATCATGACATGTGTATCTGATATGTGTATCTGATATGTGTATCATGACATGTGTATCATGATATGTGTATCTGATATGTGTATCTGATATGTGTATCTGATATGTGTATCATGACATGTGTATCTGATATGTGTATCATGATATGTGTATCATGACATGTGTATCATGATATGTGTATCTGATATGTGTATCATGACATGTGTATCTGATATGTGTATCTGACATGTGTATCATGACATGTGTATCTGATATGTGTATCTGACATGTGTATCTGACATGTGTATCATGACATGTGTATCTGATATGTGTATCTGACATGTGTATCTGACATGTGTATCATGACATGTGTATCTGACATGTGTATCATGACATGTGTATCTGACATGTGTATCTGACATGTGTATCTGACATGTGTATCATGACATGTGTATCTGACATGTGTATCATGACATGTGTATCTGACATGTGTATCTGATATGTGTATCATGACATGTGTATCTGATATGTGTATCTGACATGTGTATCATGACATGTGTATCTGACATGTGTATCATGACATGTGTATCATGACATGTGTATCATGACATGTGTATCTGACATGTGTATCATGATATGTGTATCTGACATGTGTATCATGATGTATCTACCATCTACTTCCTTGACTTCGCTACTCCTGATGGTTTCACGCAGCTGGAATGCCGGAAAGCGTGAGCAGCAGGAGCAAGGCTGTTTCAAGCACCAGGAGGGACGGAGGGGAGGAGCGACATGCCGAAGCAGAGCAGCCGAGAGTTTCCAAGGCTGTGGTTCCGTTGCCGTCCACTCGCGAGATGGAGACGAAGCAGCAGAAGGGGAGTGAGGGAGGGAGGAGGAAGGAGAAGCTGCTGGAGGAGAAGGTTGCGATGATGGAGCGACGGCTCTCGTTGCATCAGCATTGGCTCGGCAGAGACTCTCAGCTGGAGTCTGATGCTGCTGGGTACCAGGTGGAGCTCGACGAGTCGCTCAAGCTGAAGTTTCTCAAGGAGAAGCTGCTGCAGAGCCACCAGGAGATCGAGAGGCTCCGCTTCGAGCTCGAGCACGAGATCGAGCTGAGAAGGCTCGGAGATGAACAGCTCGAAAAGCTGCTGGGGTCAGTTGATGAAAAGCGGCGGCAAGTTGGGGAGGGAGAGGGCGCGACGAGGCGGCAGGAGGAGCGACGAGCAAGTGAGCGCAGGCTGAAGGAGGAGGCGATTGAGCTGGCGGAGTCGAACGTGAGGCTGCGGGAGGAGGTGGAGGCTGCGGGAAGGAGGTGGAGGAGCTCGCAGCAGCGACTGGCAGTGGAAGGAGCGAGGAGGAAGCAGCTGCAGCGGATCCTCTTTGACCGCCTCCTCCTCCACAAGCCCATGGAGTTCGAGGAGCTGCTCTCGCTAGACCTGGAGGTTTGGAGGAAGGAGGAGGCAGCGGCAGCGTCAGCGAGAGAGGAGGAGCTCGAGCGAGGACTGCGAGTGGAGCAGATGAAGAGGATGCAGGAGTCGAGGAGGTGGCAGGACGCCATGCTGTCGCTGCATGAGGAGCTCGAACGATGCCTGCGAGAGCTCGAGGAGGAGAAGTTGCTGCGAGGGAAGGCAGAAGGAGCCCTGCTGAGCTGGAAAGGAGGAGAAGCAGAGAGCCTGAAGAAGACGATTGCGGAGCTGTCTGAGGAGAGCCGGAGGAGGAAGGAGGAGAGCAAGGGGCATCTGGAGGAGAGCAGGAGGATGCGAGATGCGATGAGGAGAATGGAGGAGGAGAGGGAAAAGTTCATTGCGGAGCTCGAGGAGAGGAGGATGGAGGTGGAAGTCGAGCTGAAGGCTGTCAGGAGGAGGGAGGAGGGGTTGTCCCTGCGCGAGGACGAGGTCACTCTGACGGAGAAAGATCTCCTTGCGCAGTTTGCGCTGCTAGAGCAGGAGCTGGGGAAGAGGGAGCAAGCAAAAGAAGAGGGAGGACGATGCTCGTGCTGCGGTGAGGGAGCGGAGTGGCGGGGAGGAGCTGACACTGCTGGGGGGCAGGACGGGAGAGAGGAGAAGAGGAGGACGCGAGAGAAAAGCTGAAGGGAGAGGTCCTTGAAGCCAACATGCAAGCTGAAAGTCTCGAGAGAGGTGAAGGCGAATGACATGATGCTGGATGATGATGATGATGATGATGATGATGATGATGATGATGATGATGATGATGATGATGATGATGATGATGATGATGATGATGATGATGATGATGATGATGATGATGATGATGATG